GAGGGTGGGGGTGGGGTGCAGCGAGGAGACTGGGGACAATGGAGAGGAGGGTAGATTGCCTACCCCCAGGTGTCATCCTCTTGGACATTTGTCACGTGCCCCTCAACAAGCAAGAGCAGCATCACCAAAGGCCCGGGGTCATTACCACCACTCATAATCGTTGCCACTTCTCGGGCACTGACTGCACAGCCTATAGGACCTGGTCCCAACAGTGCCCAGCAGCCATGACACCTGCACTGCTATTACCCCTGCTCTAGAGGAGGCAGCTGAGGCTCCGAGCGCTGGGCTCCTTGCTTTGAACTCACGGAGCACATTCCGGGGCTGTGGCCCACAGGGGTGACTTCTCCAAGTCCTCGTGGTAGCTTGTCTCCAAAAGAGGCCCCACGAGCCACCACTCCTGGGCGATGCTTCGCGCCCCTTCTCCTTGGGAGCTGCAGGGCAGGGCAGGGGGACACTGGGTGAGCAGATCCAGAGACACATGGATGCCACCATGAAATCTAGCCCAGGCCCTGCTCAGTGGGAGGACGAACTGATCAGGGACGGTGCCTGCCAGCCAGACAGCACAAGTCCCTTGCAGGACACCAATGTCCTTCTCCTTGGGTCTGCCCCCATCGCTTGCTCTTGAGCAAGAGAATCCAGTACACGTGACTTCTGAGGCAAGGTCCTAAAATACACTTGTCGCGTCCGCTTGGCTCTCTGGGAACACGTGCTCCCTGCAGGGCCCGCCACCGTGCTGGAGAAGTTGGTCCACTGACAGCCCCGGCTGAGTCTCCAGCGCCAGGAGCCATCTGGACGCCCAGCCTGGCTGACAGCTGACTGAGGTGTCACGAAGGGCCCCACGCCTGGCCACCCAGCTGAGTGCAGTCCACCCCTGACCCAAAGGAGGTCATCATAAGCTTTCATTTTATGCCACTGCATCTCGGGGTGACGGGTCACACACCAGCAGAGAACTGCAGCACTCGGGCTCCGTGCGGGGGAAACTCAGGCGATGCCGTGTCCCAGCTGAGGAACCGGGCACAGGGAGGGTAGGTGGCTTGGTCAAGGTCCACCGCTGGCAAGGGTCAGAGGCAGGATCTGCTACAGAGGTCCCCCAAACCAGCCGTCCACACAGCCCAGCAGTGCGCGGCGGCCTGCCAGAGGTCTAACCTACCCAGCTGGGTCAGGCTCCTAGCCAGGGACCCCTCACCTTCCTGAGCAGGTGTCCCTCCCAGAAGCTGGGGCCCCCACCTGCCCAGCGCGGCAGTCCGTGTGCCCTGCTGGGGCCCAAGACAGGGGCTGGTGCTGTCCTGGGTGGAGCTGGTCTCCCCGCTGGTGCCTGGCTCTGGGGCCAGAGTTTTGACAAATGGCCTCACACATATTGAACAGGAGGGGGACACTGCACAGCCCTGGCAAGGCCCCAGCTGCGAGGGATGAGAAATGGGGCTGATCCATCTGGTGGCCTCGGTGACAAGGAGAAATGGATCAGCCCTAATAGGGGCTGCACATGGGCCCCGGTCTGAAATAAGTCGAATGGGAATCTGCTGCCTCCTGGGAGCAGGCGGAGACTCGGCCTCCGGAGGACACGGTCCCAGGCCACGCCAGCAGGCCCGGTTCTAGGCGCTGAGCGCCGGGTGGACGCCAGAGGCTCCGGGAAAGAGAGGCCTGTGGGAGGAGGGGGTTCAGCATCTGAGCCTCAGTTTCCACATATGCAACACAGGGCTATGGTCCATGATCATTTCACATCGGTAACAGTACTATCGGGCAGCTGGCATTCACCGAGCCCTTGCATGTGGCCACCGTGTCCTGAGCTAAGCACACATGAACTGTCTCACTGTGACCCGCCATCACACAGGGCAGAACACAGAGGCTGGGACGGGGGCTCCGGAGCCAGGTGCCTGGGTCCAGCCCCCAGCTCTGCCATTCGCAGGCTGATGACCTTGGATGCATTAGCTCGGTTCTCTGTGCTCAGTTACCCTCCACAGAGTGCCCGCCTCAGCTCAGTTGTGAGGGTGACACACCCATGCTCAGCACATGCGCGAAATTACGCACACGGTCAACACTCAAAACCCTTCGCTCCCTTCCTTTGTCTCCTCCAGCTCAGGGCTCAGGGGGACTACCTTCCAAGGCCAAGATCTCAGGGCTCAGGGGGACTACCTTCCAAGGCCAAGATCTCAGGGCTCAGGGGGACTACCTTCCAAGGCCAAGATCTCAGGGCTCAGGGGGACCACCTTCCAAGGCCAAGATCTCAGGCCTTCGGGGGACAACCTTCCAAGGTCAAGATCTCAGGGTTCAGGGTGACCACCTTCCAAGGCCAAGATCTCAGGGCTCAGGGAGACTACCTTCCAAGGCCAAGATCTCAGGGTTCAGGGTGACCACCTTCCAAGGCCAAGATCTCAGGGCTCAGGGTGACTACCTTCCAAGGCCAAGGTCTCAGGGCTCAGGGGGACTACCTTCCAAGGCCAAGGTCTCAGGGCTCAGGGGGACTACCTTCCAAGGCCAAGGTCTCAGGGCTCAGGGGGACCACCTTCCAAGGCCAAGATCTCAGGAAGGAACTTCTTGGGGAGGGGGGTGGGAGGGGGATAAAAGAAAGTTAGAGCCTTAGGTGATTTTGCTATAATGGTTCCACCTAAGGGGACTCAGGGATGGTATGGACAGGTCAGGGTCCCTTTAAGGCAGGTGCTTTTAAGGGGGCAGAGCCATGCAGAGAGGGGGCAGGGACAGAATGGAGTAGGAGCCCCCACTGGTCTGCACTGGGGTGTCTCCTAGTCATAGCTCTTCCTGACCCATTCTGACAGCCTTTCCCCCAGATGCTCTCTCTCTGCCAAGCCTTTGCTGTTCCCTGTCCCAGTGCCCGGTCCTGTTCCCTCCTATGACAGTTTCCTGACCGAAGTCCTCCCTGGGGACCCTCACTGCCAGAAGCTGTGTCAGTGACCTTCTCTGTGTTCCCACAGTTGTGTGTGGTGACCCCCATAGACACACACATAGCACAGAGCACAGCTCACCTGTCTCAGCCCCTCAGTCCCGGTACAGCGCTGCCTGACACCGTGCCCGCCCCACCAGCAGGGTGGCTGCCCACCAGCAAGTGCTCAGTGAGTCTGTTGACCGACTGACGGGTAAAGGGTCCTCAGCCCAGGACCAGACACGTAGACCCGCATAATGGACAACGTGGTCACGGTCTTCCCAGCACACACTCCTAACAGCCCACCCTGCACTCACCCCCAGTTTTCCACTGGGGTCCTCCCCTCTCCTCTCTCTGTCCAAGGGCTTGGGTGGGGCCAATGCCATGTGACTCGGGCCAGACCAATGAGAGCAGTCTCCTCAGGGTCCGAATCATTGGTTGAAGGGTGGTCACGGGACTTGAGCTAAGCCAGTGGACGCCATAACCGGGGTGTTGGCTGGGAATGTTGGAAAGAAGCCCCGTCTACCTGCTGGCATTGCTACATTTGTAAGATGTAAGCCCACAACGGAGCCTGGTGGCCATCTGTGCCATCACTTGGGAAAACGCTGCTTGGGAATGAAATCAACACAAGAGGAACAGAGACAGAAAGGGGAGAGAATGACTGAGTTCCTAAAGAATCACCTGATCACCTGGATTCAGCCATGCCTGAAGCAGTTATTCTGGTAGCTCACGCAGCATCCAGTCCACCCACTCGCCATTTAAGAGTCTTTGACTCAGTCCTACTCCAGAGATGGGTCTGGTCACGCTGAGCCAATAAGCTCATGACTCCCACAGTCACAGTGCTTGTTCAAGAGAGAAAATGACCTCAGCCGGGCTCATCAGAGGGAGGCTTGGGATTTCAGTCAGTGTGAGGAAGGACAGCCCTGTCCTTCCCGCGGGAGGGAAGCCTGACCAGGGACAGAGTTAACATGGAAGGGGCGATGCCTGGTGACCACAGAGGAAGAGAACTCAGCCCTGATGACATCAGCGACTCTGGATCAAACATGTCCTGAGGTCCATACCACAGCTGCATTTTCCATTTTCAGGAACCCCTGTATCTCCACACTGCTTAGACTAGTGTGGGCAGGTTTTTTCTGTTACAACCCATACCCCCCCTCTCCCCCCCGCAACTGATCCCCCTGGGCTTCCAGTCACGTGAAATAATAAAAACCCTTGTTTACTTGGGATTCTATCACTCACACACAAAAGGATCCTGACTGGTCCTGCCTTTCGCACACCATGCTCTGGGGTGCTGACTCCCGTCCCCTGTGTGCGGCGCCCCTCACTGCGGTCCTCGGACCCTCGAGGCTCGCCAGCCCCGCGGTCTCGTCGCCAGCTCCCATCTCCACCTCCACAGTGGCCTCTAAGACAGGGCTTGGCGAACTCTCCCTGTAAAGGGCCAGATGGTAAACATTTCAGGCTGTGTGGGCCATTCTGCCTGTCACAAGTGCTCACCTCTGCCACTGTAGCGAGAAAGCAGCCGTCAACTCTACATAAATGATGAGCGTGGCCCCGGCCGGTCTGGCTCAGAGGTTGGAGCATCAGCCCGCGGACCAAGGAGTCTCGTGTTCAATTCCGTTCAAGGGCACGTACCTCGGTTGCAGTTTGGCCTTGGTCGGGGGTGTGCGAGAGGCAACCAATTGATGTGTTTCTCTTACATCGATGTCTCTCTCTCGCTCTCCCCCCCCCCCCCTCCGTCCCTCACACTCAATCTGAAGATAAATGGGAAAATATCCTTGGGTGAGAATTAAAAAAAAAAGATGAGCATGACCATGTCCCAATAAAACTTTATTTATGGACACTAAATTTGAATTTCACATAATTTCCACATTTCACAAAATATTCTTCTTCTTTTGATTTGTCTCCAAGAATTTAAACATATAAAGACCTTGCTTAGCTTGAGGGCTGATGAGGACCAGTGTTGGCCTGGATTGCTTCCACACGGTGTATTTGCCCAGCTCGTGGGTCTCCTGATGCCTATGGACTCTGGGCTGCCCACCTTCCTCTGCCCCCAACCAGACTGAGCTGCTGAAGTCCCAGCAGGCCTCAGGGCTCTTGTGTCTGAAGGTCAGAAGCCACTTACCAGAATGACCACCCGTAGTCCCAGGAATGGGGTCTCCAGTCTTCAGGGCCGAGGCTCACGGTGACCTGGAACACCTGTGTGTACATCATGTGGGCTACCATTCCCAGGAGGCCTGTGGGGAGCAGAGCAAGGAGTCAGGGAGAGAGGTGGGGTTCAGTGCACCCCCAGGGGCCTGTTAGTGCCAGGGGAGCATGGACCCCCGGGGAAGTCGGTCGGCAGGACCAGAGCACAGGAGGCCGGAGGGTGACCGTTTCCTGAGCTGCCCAGAGAGCCTGAGTTTGTGCCGGAGGGCAAAGGGCAAAGGGCAGGCTGGAGAGAAATTTAAGGGAGACAGGGTCAGGCCTGTGTGTGGGTGGCTAAGCCTGTTCTGTTAAGAACCAGATAGTACAAGTTTCAAGCTCTGTGGGCCACCTGGTCCTGTCGCAACTATTCAACTCGACTGCTGTAGCCCAGGAGCTGTGGGCAGCGGGAATGGGCGGCTGGCAGGGCTGACCCCCGGGCTGCCGTTGGCTGATACCAGGTCATTTGGGAGCAGGAGCCTAGAGAGTGTTTTTAAAACCTCAGGTCTTAACTCATTCGACTAGTGGGTTAAAACATCAAGTTCATGGATGGCAGCCAGCACTACCACAAAAGAATGGAGCCCTGACCGGTTTGCTCAGTGGTTACAGCACTGGCTGGTGGACCGAAGGGTCTCGGGTTCGGTTCCGGTCAAGGGCACGTAGTTGGGTTGCAGGTTTGATCCTGGTTCTTGTCGGCGTGGTGTGGGAGGCAACCAACCGACGTGTCTGTCTCACATAGATGTTTCTCTCCCTCTCCCCCTCCCTCCCTTCCACTCTCTCTAAAAATCAATGGAAAAATATCCTCGGCTGAGGATTAACTAAAAAAAAGAATGGACTGGAGTAGAAATATCTGCTATCACCCAATGTAGCAGGAGCGAGGACTGTTTTGTAGGTGTGCCATGTGTGTGTGTAGTGGTTGTAATAGGGACTGTTTTTCTGCTGTTCATGGTCAAAATCTTCGAGCCCACTGGCTGGGAGAACGTTGATGCCGCGGGGTCTGAGTGAGACCGTGTCGCAGCACATTTCACAGCGTAGCCCTGGGCACAGCACCCCTCCGAGCCTGCAACTCAACCCTGAGGCCAGGGCTGCGTCAGCGAAGGTGAAGAGGGGGTGAGACGCGGAGCCTCGGCAACTGGTGCCCCCTGGACATGCACTGCAACCACTGCCCGGGTCACGGTAAGCCCAGGGACGCTTCTCTGTGGGGCCCTCGTGGGCCCATGGTGCGTGGGTCACTGGCGTGGACCTAGCTTGAAGGTGCAGGAATACAGTACTGAGGAGGGAAGGGGTAAATGACAAGAGGAAGAACGGAAACCAGTAATACGTATGCACCTACTGTGTGCCGGGCGCTCAGTCAGGTGTCTGCTGTGTACCCACTGTGTGCCGGGCGCTCTGTCAGGTGTCTGCTGTGCACCTACTGTATGCCAGGCGCTCTGTCAGGTGTGTACACACAGCAGTGTGTACCCACTGTGTGCCGGGCGCTCTGTCAGGTGTCTGCTGCACACCCACTGTGCGCTGAGCGCTGTCAGGTGTCTGCTGTGCACCTACTGTGTGCCAGGCACTCTGTCAGGTGTCTGCTGCATACCCACCGTGCGCTGGGTGCTCTGTCAGGTGTCTGCTGCGTACCCACTGTGCGCCGGGCGCTCTGTCAGGTGTCTGCTGCGTACCCACTGTGTGCTGGGCGCTCTGTCAGGTGTTAACCTCCATTATTGCCTCTCTTCATCTTTGTAACCACGCTTTGAGGTACACGGCCCTGATCTTTGAACTTAACGTCAGGGACTCCAGCACATGTATGTCTCCGTCCAGTCACTTAGCCCCAGGCCTGATGGACACAGAGGACTCAAAAGTGGCACAGAGGTGGGTGTCCGTGTCTCTGAGCTGGGGTTCGCCTCTCATGGCCACTCCCCACTGCTCTCTGACCTCAGGTGAGGGCTACTCTCTAGGGCTGCTGGGGGCCCTTGAGTGGGGAAACCCAGGGGGAGGGCCACCACAACAGGGGAGTCCCCGCGGGAGCCCCTAAAGCTGGCTGTTCCCCAGGCTCCCTCTGCCAGGCCTGAGGACACCAAGATCTCTGCAGGGGCGCTGGAGCCTCCCTGGTCCCTGGGCCTGGGCTCCGTAGGAAGGAGACGTGGTTGAGCCACAGAGATAGCTTACGTTTATCTACTTGACACAATTTTTGGTGAACTTGCCAGCAAATATGCCTTATTCTTTGGAAGTGATGCATAAGATTCCTTGAGAATGATGTACCAAGTTTTATTTATTCCATCAATTGATGGTATTGAATGACTTCAGGTGTTTGCTCTATAAGCAATGGGGTAATGAACACCTTCCCACCAGTCTCATACAAATCCTCACCAACGCCTGAGATGATACAACCATTTTGCCCGTTGCCTGGTGAAACATGAGACCTCAGCATTGTTTCAAGTTTCACATTTCCCTCATTATTAGTGAGCGTGGGCATTTTGCACATGTTTATTAACCCTTTCTATTTCTTCTTCTATGAATATGCCTGCCTGTATCCTTTGTCAATTTTCTTTCATTTTTATCTTTTTAATTATCAGTTTGTAGAAATTATTTATGTATCTTGGAGACTAATCCCGTCTGCTGCATGGACTATGAACAGCTACAGCGTGTCTTTCCCCGTGTGCAAAACATCACTTTTCTTAATAGACTATTTTTAGAGCAGTTTTAAGTTTCCAGCAACATTGAGTAGATAGTACAGAGAGTTCTCATATGTCCCCTCTCCAGTTAGTGTGGTACATTTGTTACAACTGGTGAACCACTATCAATACATTACTATCAACGAAGTCTCTAGTGTACACTGAGGTTTACTATTTGTGTGGCGTGTTCTGTGGATTTTGACACACGTATGGCAACCTGTGTCTACCATCCTGGCCCTGAAAATCCCCCGTGCTCCACCTATTCACCCTCCCTCCCTCCCTGCCCACTGAACCCCTGGCAGCCACTGATCTTTTGACTGTCTCCATAGTTTTGCCTCTTCCAGAATGTTCTATAGTTGGAGTCATACAGTATGTGGCCTTTTCGGACTGGCTCCTTTCACTTAATATTGTGCATTTTGGTTTCTTCCACGTCTTTTCATGGCTCCACAGCTCATTGCTTTTTACTGCTGAATACTATTCCATTGTCTGGCATCCAGGCTGTGCTCTCACCTGCTGAAGGACGTCTTCGTCGCTTCCAGTTTGGGTAAGTACGGAGAGAGCTGATTTGTCACACATTTTGACATGTGGTAGAGTCAAATCTACCCGCCTTTCCCTTTGCGGTTTGCACTTGCTGTGTCTGATTTAAGAAAAAGCCCACACCAAACACAGAGTCCCCTGTATTTTTCTAACATACTTATAAAGGATATTTAATTCCTCTGGAGTTTATCTTAGTGACTGGTGTGAGATAAAGATCTAACTGAATTTTCTTGAATGAATAACTAATTGCTTTGAACCCTATAGATGAGCCAAGCTTCCTCTGCTGATTTTAAATGACACCTTTACCCCATATTCCAAGCCCCACATATACATGAGTCAATTTCCCACCTCATCATTCTCGTCCTCGGGTCCCTCTCTGTTCCTGTATCAATGCCGCACCTTTTTATCTATTTATTTATTTATTTATTTTTTTATCCTCACCCTAGGACATTTTTCCATTTTTTGTTCAGATAGAGTGGGAGGGAGAGAGAGGAACAGAGAGAGAGAGAAACATCGATGTGAAGGGACACATCGAGTGGCTGCTACCCGCACGACCAACCAGGGCCGGGGACAAACTGCAACCGAGGTACGTGCCCTTAGCAGGAACCGAACCCAGGTCTCTCCAGACCGCAGGCCAACGCTCTAACCGCTGAGCCAAACCGGCCAGGGCCAATGCCGCACCTTTTTAATTAGTAGTAGAGCCTGTTGCCTGGAAGGACGTCTCCCCTCTCGCTGCACACTGCTCGCTGTCCCTGCAACCACAGCCCTACCAGGGAGCTTTGCCCCTCGGCGGGACCCAGACCCCTTCTTGGCCCCCATCACCAATCCCTTCCTGAGGAGCCTCGGTGCCTTTATTTTCTCATCTATAAAATGGGCCATTTCAAGGAGCATCACCAGCAAAGGAAACGTGCGTGAGCACCACCACGCCGTATCTCAGGGCAGGGGCGCGTGTGACCAAGAGAACTCTCGGCCAGACCCAGAAGCCGGACCCAGCCTGTTGGCTGAAGAATTAATTTTCTAAATTGTTGGGATGGAAAAGCATTGATTTCTCAATTGAATTCCATTTATCCCCAAATCTGAAAGGCCGTGCTTTAAGGACATTCAATAAATGCAATTGCAATTGGTGAGGTTCTCGAATTGCATGTTAAAGATCCTGCTTCAAAACGCTGCCCCTGGCCCAAGTGTTCGTCCACTGAGACCACCGAGCAGCAGCACCTGCCACACAAATCCTCAGCAGAAGGAACCCTGTGCGGCTCGGCTAAATTAAAACGTGGCTTTTTGATGAGTTACTGAGCTTCCTAGATTAGGGGCAACTGAATGATGAGGCTTTCCTGCGGCCGAGGTGGCCCCGCGTGCACACACACCGGAACGGCACAGCTGGACACCTCTCCTCCCGCGGTTCCTGGACCCTCCCCACTCCTGACACCACAGGTGGAATCCCCAGCCTGTGGGGTGAGGCAGGATGGCTCCCCGGCCCTGGGGACCCTGGGGAGCACCAGGGCTGGGGGATGCTGGCCAGGGCTCAGAGCTGGGCAGGACGCGGGCCACCCGGAGCGGGACGAGCTGTGGCAACCCCAGGCCTGCCCCCCCGGGCTCCTGGGGAAGCTGAATTCTCTTGTCCAGGCCAGAGAGGCTGGTGTGGGGCTAGAACTGAGACAGTGTCAGAGGGTCAGAAGGTGAGCCCAGAGCAGAGCAGGGGTAGCAAAGGAGAGAGGGTCTCGTTTGCAGCTCTGTCACTTACCAGCCATGTGATCTCACCTTTCTGTGCCTCAGTTTCCTCAACTGTAATGTGGGGTTAATAGTAGCACCCACCTCATAGATTGGTATGAGGATGAAGTGGCTTATACTGGTAAAGCATT